GAAAGGAATTCTATAATGGATTGATTATATTGAGATGCAAGTGGTGTGGGACGAAGGCAAGCATATTTTGTATTTAAAAATCTAGAATCTAATTCTTCTTCACCGTCTGACAACACTAAAAATTTGATTATCAAATGGGATAATACAAATAAGTGTAAATGCGGAAAATGTGTCAAGGTGTAAAGGTGAAAATAAAAACCTTCTGCATCTGATTTATTGCCACCATCCTCTGAATTGCTTGTAATGCTACTACGAGAATCCGGATCACTTTGTGTATCTTTTCTTTCATTTTTGGATAATGAGGGTAATTACTTTTATTAATTATTATTATTATTATTATTATTTATAATGATTTAGGCTTACCCACGCGATGTAAAAAGTTATAAAGAGGCCATGAAGATTAAAGGTTAAAAACCGTTTTTTTTTCTTATATAGTTGAAAGGCCGTTATCATAAACGATAATGATAATAATGAATTATTTTAAATTTTAATTCTGAAAAGGTATTGGTGATAGGATTGGAAATCTTATTAAAAAATATTTTGAATTGGATACAATCCCTGAAGCAGAAAAAATACTGGATGATCCTAGATTCCTAACATTGGATTTATTTACACGTGTTTTTGGTAATATATTTTACAAGGGGGTTTTTAATTTTTTGAATAATAATAATAATAATAGTATATATTTATTATATGCCGTAAGGCGTTGGAACTAAGAAAGCAAACGAATGGTATAATAAAGGATACGAGACAATAGATGATTGTAAGAAAGATCCAAATTTAACAAATGTACAAAAAATAGGATTGGAAGTGTTTGATGATTTTCAGAAAAAGTACAATCCACAAATTATTATTATTATTTGAAATAATATTATACCTATATTATTATCTAATCGTTCACTACCTTTATTTTAGAATGACACGTGAAGATGTTGAAGAAATTTTCGAAATTTTGAATAAAGAAGTCAAAAGCATTGATTCACAATATTTCTTAACAATTGTTGGTGGTTATCGTAGGTAACTAATAAATCAATTATATATATAATAATTTAAATATATAAATAAGCTTTCCAAATTTTTAATTTTAGAGGTAAAGAATTTAATGGGGATTTGGATGTGATATTATCGCATCCTGAAGAAGAATTAGAACCATTTATATTAAAGAAAATAGTGAACAGACTTGCTGATAAAGGTTTTGATTAATAAATAAATAAATATAATTTTTTTTTTTCTTTTTT